GAAATTAATGGAAGCCAATGCAAAGTGAGGATAGAACAACAAACGTGTGTGCGCGGGAGGTGCGGAGCTGAGCCCGCGAGCAGATCGCTGTGTTATTAGGAGAGATGAGACTGTCGGCGGGCGACCATTGATACTGCTGGATTATTTTAATGGAACATGGAAACTTTTTTCAGCTGGTGACCCCTCCCCCTCCCCCTCGGTCGCACCAGTGTGACCGGACATTTTTTTAGTCGCACTATTAGGAAATCAGGTCGCATTTGCTACCAAATTGGTCACACTCTAGAGCCCTGGCCCAGGAGGCATCCTAACCAGATGCCCGAGCCACCTCAACTGGCTCCTCTCGACGTGGAGGAGCAGCGGCTCTACTCTGAGTCCCTCCCAGATGACTTGAACTTCTCACCTAATGCTACTTTCACACCGAATGCGTTTTGAGCAGCAAAAAAGTGCCCAATGCCTCCAGCTGGTCGCACTATGTTCAGACCGAGACACAGAGCAGACGTGCGTCTGAAGAGGGAGGAGCGTCTTTTTTTTTTTTTTTTTCTTGTCTCTGTGTTCGGCGGATGAAATAAAGATAAAATAGGAAAATGGCTTTGCTTTATTTACTGAAGAGCAAGCGAATGTTGTGCACATCTGATAAATTAATTCACCAGATGATTTAGAGGTGGTTTGTTCAGTTAGTTTCGCCACTCCAGTAGCACCGAGCTGATGGACTTTTTTTTTGTCCCTAGCAGCTGACCCACTGTGTGCTGATATCTCCAGCCAGAAAATCCAACTACAGACGGTCCATTTCAGCTAAAGAGTTACTGTCTGTTTCGGTTTTGTGGGCAATTTTCAGGAAACTATCACGTGAAAAAATTAGTCTCTCTGATTAGTTACAAAGACGCGTCGAGCGGCGAAAGTTCAGATTTTTGTACTCGGGCGTCAGCTGCTTCTGCAGCACCGCATGCACAGAAAATACTCTGCCGCCCCTTCCTCATTATTTGCGCCCCGTGCAAAACAGACGTGACACAACGCCAGACCCCTAGAGGCACGTCCGCCATAGACTTTGCATKTAAACTGGCTGCTCCTGCAGCTCAAAATGCATCGGTGTGACTCCACCATAAGGGAGAGCCCAGACACCCTGTGAAGGAAACTCATTTTGACCGCTTGTATCCGCAATCTCGTTCTTTCTGTCACTACTCAAAGCTCGTGACCATATATGAGGGCAGGAACTTAGACCGACCGGTAAACCGAGAGCTTCGCCTTCTGGCTCAGCTCCTGCTTCACCGTGACAGACTGATACAGCGCCCGCATCACAGCAGATGCAGCACCAATCCGCCTGTCAATCTCTCGCTCCATTCTTCCCTTATTCATGAACAAGACTCCGAGATACTTCAACTCCTCCACTTGGGGCAGGACCTCCTCTCCGACCTGGAGAAGGCACCCAACCCTTTTCCGGCTCAAGACCATGGTATCGGATTTGGAGGCACTGATCTTCATCCAGGCTGCTTCACACTTTGCTGCGAACCGCTCCAGTGAGAGCTGGAGATCCCGATCTGATGAAGTCAATAGGACCACGTCATCCGCAAAAAGCAGAGATGTGATCCTAAGGTCACCAAAACGGATCCCCTCAACACCTTGGCTGCGCCTACAAATTCTGTCCATAAAAGTTATGAACAGAATCAGTGACAAAGGGTAACCTTGGCAGAGTCCAACTCTCACCGGACGCGAGTCTGACTTACTACTGGCAATGCGGACCATGCTCTTAACACCTGTGATACAGGGACCTAACAGCCTGTATCAACAGGCGTGGTACCCCATACTCCCGAAGTACCCTCCACAGGAGTCTTTGAGGGACATAGTCCAMAAAACACATGTAGWCTGGTTGAGCGAACTCCCTTGCACCCTTCAGGACTCTGCTGAGAGTGTAGAGCCAGTCCGCTGTTCCACAACCAGGACGAAAACCACACCTGAATAGACCTTACCAGGGAGGCTTAGAAGTGGGATCCCCCTATAGTTGGAACACACTCTGTGGTCCCCCATTTTAAATAGGGGAACCACCACCCCGGTTTGCCAATCCAGGGGATCTGCCCCTGATGTCCACGCAATATTGTAGAGTCGCATCAACCAACACAACCCCACAACATCCAGAGCCTTAAGGAACTCCAAGTGAATCTCATCCACCCCCGGCGCCTTGCCACTGAGAAGCTTTTGACCCACCTCAGTGACCTCGGCACCAGAGATTGGACAGTCTGACCCAGGGTCCCCAGGCTCTGCTTCCTCAATGGAAGAAGTGCTGGTGGGATTGAGGAGGTCTTTGAAGTATTCTGGCCACCGACCCACAACGTCCCGAGTTGAGGAGCACCATCTAGGGCTGCCATGATTAGTCGACTAGTCACGATTATGTCGACTATTAAAATCGTCAACGACTAATTTAATAGTCGATGCGTCGTCTTTTTTTAGCTTTGTTTTTCTCTCCATACTGCTGCGGCATCTTCCACTGCCGCATCTGCCTTTTTGTCTTTGACATGCATGCGCAGTAGTGGGTAGGCCGCGGTGCGGACGTATCGCACAGACAGACTGGTATCATGGCTACCCAGCGGCAACGGAGCTCAAAAGTATGGGATCATTTTAAGAAAACGAAAGAGAAGTGTTCAATGCAATATCTGCAAGGTGGAACTTGCCTTCCACAGCAGCACAACTGCGATGCACGARCACCTGAAAAGGAAGCATGTTGTGGCTGATTGTGAAGAAGAGGGACCATCATCTCGGTAAGCTAAATTGCTAGTTAGCTGCTAAAATTAGCGTAAACAGAGAGTTAACTTGCTACTTACTCATATTGATAGCTGTAAAAGTTAACATTAGCGATGATGATTTGATTCATTAGCCTTAGCACACATGTTTGATGTGTTTTCTGTAACTTTATAACAGTGATGTGTTTGAAAAGGAATGCTGATATTTTCTAATGTTATGTTTCATTGCTAAATAAGTACACTCTTCTTCAATGGACAGCTTTGTTATAAAGCCAGCTACATGCACATCTCAGCAAGCCAGTGTCCTGTCTGAGTCCATTTAAAACATGCTGCTGACGGACATGAGACCACTATCCATGGTAGACAATGAAGAATTTAAAGACATGGTTAAATAGTTTAACCCAGATTACCATGACAACTACCTACCAAGCAGATCTCGCTTCACCTACATTGATGGAGAAGAAATATTGTGCAACTTTTGAGAAGGTCAGTCTCTCTTTCTTTCTCAATTTCATTTAGATTTTTGGCATGAATATATTAAAACAATATTGCCAAAGCAACAATAACACAGTAAAATAAATGATTTAATAAACAAGCAACATTTAAAGACATTAGAATTAAAATGTCATAGATATCACACTAACACACAATGATGAAATAATATTAAGAGCTTGCTGACTGAGCAACTAATAAATTAATACTGGGTAAGGTATGTGATGATTTTTTAAAACATACTGTATGTTTAATGTTTATCTAACCTACTTGACTATATCTGGTAACTGAATTATTGAATTGGTAAATACATTTAAGGCTTGATGCATAAACTGACGGATATTGTTAATGAAAAAAAAGCTTTTCTTCATAATGTTTACTATTCTTATAAATCATCTCATGTCTTTAAGGTAAAGGAGACCCTCAGGGGTGTCAAAGGTTTCCTCAAGCTGACTGCTGATGTGTGGACCAGTTGTGCAACAGAGGCTTACAGTGGCAGCTGTGTCTTGCCATTTCCTGAGTGAAGATTGGAAAATGAAGACCTTAAATCTTTCTACCATGCCTGTTGAGGAGAGGCATACTGGTGCAAATATAATGACATTGATGAAAGAGGTTTTAACAAAGTTTGCCATCTTGCCGACCAAAATAAAAGCAGTGGTTCATTGACAGTGGTTCCAATATGGTGGGAGCAATGCGACTGCTTGAAGAGAAACATGGATGAGCCGTATAGTCAACACTGCTCTCAAAGAAACCTCCATCAGCAGAGCACTATAGGTGCTGCTAGGCAGCTAGTGGAGCAGTTTAAAAGAAGTGAGCTGGCTAGTACAAAGCTAAAGATGAAACAGGAGCAAATGAATGTTAAGAAAAATGCACTGATCCAGGATGTCAGCACAAAATGGAATAGTACATTCCACAAGATAGAGAGACTCCTTGAACAGTGCTGGCCTGTCACTGCCACTCTTTCAGATCCCGAGGTAACTCCGAGAGGGAAACACTACTTCGACTTGAAGCCAGAGCAGTGGGAGCTGCTTCAAGAACTGAAGCGAGGGTTGGCACCTTTTGAGACTGCTACTGTTTAACTTAGTGGACAGCAGTACACAACCATTTCAGGTCTTCCACAGGTGGTCAAAGGGCCGACACAGGCAGTACACCAAAACCAATTTGAGACAAGCTCAGGAAATTTTTTCATTACCAGGGCAGAAAATGGGATAATACAGAGATGGGGGAGTCTTTCCACTATCTCAGCAGATAAAGAAAATCCAGTTATTCTTGCAGCTGCCTTGGACCCCAGATACAGAAAGCTGAAGTTTTTGACTCCTGAAGATRGCATCAGACTGCAGGGGAGTGTTGAAGTGCTTGCTGTCAAAGAAGCAAAAACAACTGGGACACAGGATACAAAATTGCAGAAGGTCAATAATTCAGATAGAGTGCTCTGGAAACCCTGCTTCAGTCTGAGTCAGACACAGACAGAGTGAAAATGAGGATGGAGAAACTGAGGAGGACCGAAAGGTCCAAGTTGTGATAAGTGAACTTTGACTTTACTTTGGAGAGGCCACACTCTCTAAAAAGGATGATCCTCTCAAATGGTGGAGTGAAAATGAGGGGCGTTTCCCCACGCTATCAAAGCTAGCTAAATYTTTTCTGTGCATCCCTGCAACCTCCACCTCATCAGAGCGGATTTTCTCTGCAGCAGGGAACATCTGCTCTCAAAAGAGAGCAAGCCCTTCTCCAAGACACGTGGAAATGCTAACTTTCCTGGCTATGAACAGGAGCCTTGTGCAGTTTGAGATTGTATAGTCAGAGTGTAGTAAGTTGAATACAGTTGTGAGCACTGAGCACAAAATGCACTTTTGTTATATTTGAGTCAGTGAGACCAAAACTTTACTTTTTTGTGAATAATACCTTAGTTTCAAGTAACTACCTCTTTTGATTTAATTGCAGTTATGTTTGATGCCAGAGGCAAATGAAGGCCAGAAAAACCTAAACATTTTTTAAATTAATGTATTTATTTTTGTGTTGTAGTGCCTTATCATTATTTTACTCAGTTGTTTGCACCATGCTACACAGTTCAATAATTGTTTGTTGCAACAAACTGCCTATTTCATTAAAGGTTTAATGAACTATGATCTTAATTGTCTTTATTTTTGTTAGAATATAGCTGAAATCTAATGATGGTTCTATAATAGCAGCTGCATTCTGGTGCGATAAGCTGTATGTTCTATATYCAATTAACGTATGATCCGATCAGTCGATTAATCTAAAAAAATAATCAGTGATTAATSGACAATAAAAATAATCATTTGTGGCAGTCCTAGCACCATCCCCACCATAAACAATGTTGGTGGCGAACCACTTTACCCTGGCCCCTTCGCCTCAAAGCCATACGGAAGTCTTTTTCTATGGCCTCTCCGAACCCCTCCCGCACCCGAGTTTTTGCCTCGGCGACCACCCGAGCCGCAATCTGCTTGGACTGTCGATACCTATCAGCTGCTTTCGGAATCACACAGTCCAAAAAGACTCGCTGACTCCTCCTTCAGCCCCTCGCCTTCGTACTGAGTCTGACATTACAGGAGAAGCAGACTGCTCGACAGTGCTTATCAATTTGGTCAAAATTCATCACGTGGAACCGGTGCTGAAAACATACCGGGTTTCAGTACCATTCCTACAAAGTTATCTCCTATATATCACCAACAACAGTGAAGCAGTGAACCCTGTTTACTTAATGCAACAACATAAATGAGGTCTGTGTGAAAGTAAAGGTAATGTCCTCAATGTGTTTCAGTGGTCCCTGCAAATGATCAACAAACGGTGCTGATTAAAGTAGAAGTTTCTGAAGAATGGATACCTGGTGTGGACCAGCCAGACCCAGAACCCCTCAACTTAGAGAAAGAGGAGGGACCTTGGACCAGTCTAGAGGGAGACAACTTGGTGTGATGATGGAGGTTGATGTCACCAGGTTTTCAGTCACTGCAGCTCCTTATAAAAGTGAAGATGATAGAGAGAAGCCTCTGTTCTCACAGCTACATCAGCACCAGGTGGAGGACAGAGATCTTCCAACATGCAGCTCAGCTGGTCAGATGGAAACAGCAACTGATGAAGAGGACTGTGGAGGACCTGAAACTACCAGTAACCCAGATGGAAATATTTACAAAAACAGTTCCAGCTCTTCAGAGACTGAACTCAGTGAGGATGATAAAGATGAAGAGGATGTGAGCAGTCCTGACTCTCAGCTGAAGAACTTTTCAGTCTTTGGGCAAAAAACTAAACAAAGGAACAAAGAATGGAAGAACAGAAAGACTCCTGCGTCAGGAGTGAACACTGTCAAAAAATCTGTGAAATGCTCTGAGCGTGGTAAACAGTATGTCAACAACAGGTTTCTTAAGAGACACATGTCCTGTCGTTTAGGAGACCCGACAGAACCAAAATTAGTAAAGTGTAAAGACTGTGATAAAAAATTTACAAGAAAAAATGCTCTAATAGCTCACATGAGAGTGCACACAGGAGACAAAGCATTTCCTTGTGATGTTTGTGGACAAAGATTTAGTCAAAAGTCATATTTAGACAGACACATGAGAGTCCACACAGGAGACAAACCATATCCTTGTGATATTTGTGGACAAAGATTTAGCCGAAAGTCAACTGTAAACACACACATGAGAATCCACACAGGAGACAAACCATTTCCTTGTGATCTTTGTGGACACAGATTTAGAGAGAAGTCATCTTTAAACTCACACATGAGAGTCCACACAGGAGACAAACCATTTCCTTGTTATGTTTGTGGACAAAGATTTAGCCATAATTCATCTTTAAACACACACATGAGAGTCCACACAGGAGACAAACCATTTCCTTGTGATGTTTGTGGACAAAGATTTAGCCATAATTCATCTTTAAACACACACATGAGAGTCCACACAGGAGACAAACCATTTCCTTGTGATGTTTGTAGACAAAGATTTAGGCAAATGTCACATTTAAACTCACACATGAGAGTCCACACAGGAGACAAACCATTTCCTTGTGATGTTTGTGGACAAAGATTTAGCAAAAAGTCATCTTTAATCTCACACATGAGAGTCCACACAGGAGACAAACCATTTCCTTGTGATCTTTGTGGACACAGATTTAGAGATAAATCATCTTTCAACTCACACATGAGAGTCCACACAGGAGACAAACCATTTCCTTGTGATGTTTGTGGACAAAGATATAGCCATAAAACAAGTTTAAACACTCACATGAGAATCCACACAGCAGAGACATCAGTTTCACTGTAAATATTAAAACGGCTCCTACATGAGGTCCCACAGGAGGTATATGGAGGACCGATGCCAACATAAACAGCAAAAACAGCAGAATGTTTATCTTAATTATTAATTTTCATTTCTTTTGATTTGTGTTTTTTTACTGGCTCAGGCCACATTCCTGATCTCCTGTTGTTCTGTTATAGATGAGCAGTGGAGACAAAGTGTTTATTTGTTTCCTTTAAGGTTTTATTTATGTTTTTGCTTTCATTTTATTTATAAAGGTCTCGGTCAGGTTGAGATAATTTCTGAACTAGACAAATCAAAGACTGATTTTTTTCCTAATTTTTCATTAATCTTGATTTCTTATCACTTCATTGTTTTTTTTATGTGGTTCATGCTTAGAAACATTTTGGGGTTCCGTTTTATTGTTTAAAGATTTTTGAAAATGGCATGGGAATTTTAGTAAATTTGTTTCTTCACATCTTCACTTCCCAAATACTCTTTTTCATGATACAGGTTTCAAGGTTTTGTTTGATTGCTCAGTTCAGTAATCACTGATGTTTTTGCTAATGTTATTTTTTCATCAGTCTGTTTGTCAGACATAATAATGCAAATAATATTTTTATCCTGCTTTTGCATTTTCTTAGGCTGGCCTGAGCTTTTGTTTATTGATTTTGCCTCTAGTATTATTGCATTAGTTATAATTCTTTTATCGGGCCATTTTACTCTTATTTCCTTCTGTTACTGTTAGTTTTTTGGGGTCATCTGTTGTTGCTTCCTTAGAAGTTTAGCTCTGTTTCAGATTTAACCTTGTTTAATTCAGTAATCAGGKCAGTTTTCCTTTGATTTAATTGTATTTTTCTAGTTTGTTTGAATTGACCAATTTATGATCAAAAGGGAGTAATTGTGTTAAAGGAAAATACCTCATGTAGCATTCTTTCCCAGGCCCTTTGAAGGCCTAAGACCTAGTGACCTTTCCGCTGACCTCAGTGACATCAGATTTATGGCATATCTGTTTATCTTGTTTTCACTCAGTTTTATGATCAGGACAAGAATTGCTAGAGGTAATCACTTTACCAAGTGTTATACTCTCCTCAGCCCGTCACAGGTGCCAGGGCAAAATGTTATTGTTTGTCTAGATGTAGATGTCAGAGGTAGGAGGGTCTCAAGGACGGCCTCGGTACACAAGATCTGTGACAGAAAGCTAATAGGTTCTACGTTAGGATTTGTGTGCCTTGCTTTTTGCAATAAACAAAACTCAGACAATTCTACGATGTGCTATTACTCTTTAAATCACATATTCCTGTCTTTTTTCTTTCTTTGTTTAACTTTTTGCGAATTTTTATTAAAGAAACTGTCCAGAAGACTTACTAAACTTTTTTTTTTAGATTTTAGATTAGAATTTGTATGTTCTATGAGCTACAAAATCCAGGACAAAAGAAATGTAACAGAATATGAATATAGGTACTTCAGAGTCTATCATTTGGCACACTACATAAGGTGCTGAGTTTAGGAATGCACCGATATGAAAATTTCAGCCGATATCCGATATAATTATTGGTGTTATGGCCGATAACCGATATTACACAAACATACAAATTATATTACACATATACGCACAAACACACTTGGGTCTTTTTATGATACTGTAAATAAACCAGACTTCTGACATGGCTCTACTTCAGTTATTCCTGGCTGTGCAGCTTAAATATCACTATCATGATCAAACAGATGCTGCTCAACCAACCGTCTCACCTCCTAAAACAGAAACACAAAGATAAATGTGGGAAATCAATATCGGACATTAATATTGGCCCCATTTTACATATCAGACCGATATCAATATTCTAAAAAATGACCAGTATCGGCCAATACTGATATCAATACCGATGTATCGTGCACCCCTAGTTGAGTTTGTTGATGACTTAATTAAATTTAAATAAATAAGTCAGTAAGTGGAGAAATAAGAGCTACTGTGTGAATAGATGGACTCCCAACAAATGTTCAAGTCAAATAAATCATCTAACCATACTTATGCATTCACTTATTCAGCCTGTCTTTGATGACCATTTTTTTGTTAAGGGCCATGGAGAGCTGGCATCTACCTCAAGTGATTACCAGGTGAGAAGTGTACACCCTTAAAATGTTTCCAGTTTATCACAGTCAAAATCAGTTCACTGTATTTACCTTTTTCTAAATTTTGCATTTAATCATGCACAAACATGCACAATCGATCTGCACATGGATCCTGCTCCTTCCTAAGTAGAGAAGCTGACCCAAGAAGGGCAGCCCACTTTATTTGCATAACATTAAACGACTTATTGTAAAAGTTATGTTTTTTGTGCTAAAATGTACATATAAAAACAAATAAGTAAACTGACCATAAATTATTCTTATTGCATTCATGTGATTTGATAGAAAAAAAGACAGTGAGGTTTTAAGATCTTAAGAGTGATGGTGTTATTTATACAGTATATCCCAAAACTTCAGGTCAAAGAATAGCTGCAAGGGAAAAAACAAAATTATAATCTGGGTTGTTTACTTAGTTAAAAACTACAACACTAATATAAATAGGAAAATGAAAGAACTGACCTTCCTAATACAGGCTTATACTAAACCTGTATGTAAATGCATGGACACGTTTTAACAATTCATCAAAAATATATAGACGCTGCCACAAAAATTTATTAATAAAATAAAATTTGAATAGAAAAAAATTGAAAACATTTGTGTTTTAACCCAAAAGCATATAAGAGCAAAGCACGTGTGGGGGAGATAGATGACACATACATGGTGTTACTAAAACATTTCCACTCATGTAATCAAAGGCATCATTAAATGACATTCTGTTCGCGAGCACTGCACCCTCACGTCCTCGTGTATTTACAGGTTTTCTACAAACTGTGTACAACAATCAATAAATACATACAGACTTGGCGAAACWGTGTAAAATGTGACTAAACTGATACTGCTTTTAACAAAATAGAAGACAGTTTTGGAAAACGCTGTGTGAGTTTGAGCCAAGTTGCACCGTGCTGTTGAGGCGCTAATGGAAAAGGAGCATAACTGATCAGAAAAATGACATTTTGTTTTGAAATCCCTTGAATGTGTATTCCGACACTAAAAAACTAAGCATGTTTTCACAAAATGTGTAGGCTTTAACCCCTGGTCATGTTTGAGTTGAAGTGAGGCCAAGAGCATGTGTAAATAATGTTTATTGCAGAAACAAATGGGATGAAGGTGCTAGATTTACTGTCTTCCATGATGTTTGAAAACTAAGTTTTTCTATAAAAAGATAGTAAAAAATATTTCATATAAGTTGATCATATGTTTTTTTATATCCATATGAATTCCATGGCACATGACGAGTGTCTGACAATAAACATAGCTTACTGATTAAAGGCGGCCATGACAGATGATCTTGCTTGTTAAGCATAAACAAAGTCTGTCAGTAAAAGCACAATCATTTAAAAACAGACTGAACTTTAAAACTCCTTGAGACATGCATGTTTATATGGACCGACCCGCACATCGACACTGTAAACAAGAGATTCTACAACCAGAATCAGATTTTGGCCCCACAAGGATTTCAGGTCCCATCAACATAACTAAAAATGTGTGCTCACACATTTTACATCCACTTTATTAAGTCCACCTGTTCTACTGCTTGTTGACACAAACTACTCATCAGTCAATGAATATCAGCAGCTCAGTGCCTTCAGGCATGTAGAAGACCTGCTGAAGTTCAGAACACATGACCATCTCTAGGGTTTAAACCTGAACTTCAGCGAGCCATCTTCACCACATCTAAAGCCTGGTTCACACAGTAAGGTAATTTTGCCCATTTTTGACCCGATTTTGCCCATCCGGCAATCTTAAGGATGCCCCGATAACCACGATGGCTCTACAGATAATCTCTGGAGATATTCCTGCTGTGTGTGGTGCTCCCCTGAAGATAAACGAGCCTGTTGACTGTGATGTATAAGCCAATCAGGAAGTAAGGTAATGTAAACAGAGGGGAGTCCAAAATACGGAAGACAAAGCAGCTGCCATGGAGCACCAGAAAAACTGGTGGACGTCATTTTTCCTCTGTTAAAAAAAGCCCACAGACTACGGCCATTTCTTCTTACTCGTCTGCAATGTTTATTTCCTCTGAACTCATGTTTGATCTTGAGAGACCTCATGAGATTTCCTGTCTGAATGTTTGAGTGAAATCTGTTTTGTGTACTGTCTTCGCTGTGTGGGTGTACACCACACTGTAGGACCAAACCTGTTATATCTGATTTTTATAGTCATTTATGGGGTCTCTCAGTCTTTGAAAATTAACCAGCATCTTTAAAATCTTGCCATGTGAACCAGACATTAATGTCTAAAAGGAAAACTGCTGCCTGGTGGGCCGATCAGCAATTAGCACATGAACAGGAAGTCCCAGTAAAGTGGCTGGTGTGTGTTTGTTCACACACAGTCTAGGTACAGTTTGTTCATGATGTCTAGCTACTGCTAAGGTCATATCTAGTATTTATCCATCTGTGTGTCCACAAGAAACTCTTAGCAGTGTTTTTTGTTTGTTTTCCCAGCTGTTTCTAAAACACCCAGGTAACAGGGACCCACTGGGGGTTTTTAGAAACCGTTTCCAGAGCAGCTTTGACGGTGCGGTAGGTCTCATCAAGGTTCTCACTGATGATGGTGAGGTCAAAGTAGTGACCGTAGGCTGCTTTAATCTTCGTACTCTCATTGCATGACTTCTGCAGCTCTTCATCCTGCAGCAACACAACACACAGCTTGGTTTAATTTCCTGATCTGGGACACAAAATCTGAATAATTAGAAGGGGATTTATTTTTCCTCTTACTGTCAGAGTCTTTGTGACCACTCCTGCCTCCACAGCTGAGCGATTCATTGCTTTCAGCACTTCAAAGTCTGGACACTGGAGGAACACCACGTAGGGCAGGAACTCGGATGTCCGCAGCACTTTGAGAGACTGGAATGAACACATGAAAGCAATGTTAGATTTGAAGGACATATTTTATTTGAAACATCACTTCTTTGTTTAACGGCACATATTATTTGGCTTTAGGAGGTCCTAATGCAAGACACCTTTAAAAGGCACAGGATTTGTTGTTTTCAGCGACATCTAGTGGTTGAGTGGTTGAATCATCCTCCCTGGTCCTCCCCCCCACCCCCACCCCCGCTTCCAAACGCAAAGGAGTTGCTACGGTGTCTCTCAGGTGTCAAAAACCTTTGATAATTCCAACCGTGATGTCTACCAGCAGCTTCAGGGCTAGTGATGTTTCAAGTGGTAAGATTATGAGCTTTAATAAGTAAAATTATCCCAGCTACAATGACAGACAACAAATATTACATTTATAGTATTACAACTAAAACTGTTTTTGACGCCGCCACCGCAGTTTGTCCTTCATGAGCCTTCATAGACAAGATGGCGGCTGCCTGTAGTGGCGACCCGCGACCATGGAGATATGAACAGCTTTTTATAAGGTAAAAATAATAAAACAAGGTCTTTGTCTGCAATGATTAGACATGTTTTTTTTTATTATTGTCATTAGTGATTATCTCAATTTCGGCTAAAAGAATTGACAAAATCCTACAGACTGTGCCTTTAAGTTTCCATGTCATGTTTGAGGATTTTGAAATGTGAAAATATCTTCCATGTAGTGAGTTGTTCAAATTTGCTGACTTGTTACATTACACTCATATCAAGAAAATGACCCAGCCTGATGAATACAGAGGAGACAGGAAGTTCAAATTGTTTTAGTTAAAGTTCGTAACTCACAGGAAATTCTCTTCAGCGGTACATACTTCGGTTAGCAAAACAAGGAGAAAATATTTACTCACTACAGGGTTCCTACATATTTAATTTACGGTAATTTCCATACTCAATCGTTCCAAATTTATTTGCAGTTTTTTTTTAAATAATTGGTTATTAAAACACTGGAAATTTACTGGAAATGTTATAAAGTGTTACAGATTTATTATTTTAATAACTGGTAAGTGTGATCCTACAGTGTGGTTCAGGACAGATTGTGTTCAACCACCAAACCAGATCGGACCACTTCAGAAGACAAACAGAGACAAATATAGTTTCATTAGATGAAAGAAAAAGGTAAAATAAAATGTTTCAGTGTGACAAAATAGATCTGAATAAAAAAAGGGGGCAAAAATGAAAATAAAGTTTTCAAAGCTATAAAACGTCTCTTTTTGTTTTGTGCAAAGATTTAAGGCTGAATTACATTTTTCCTCAGACACTAACCTCTAAACATCAGCTGATAACTGCGAGGCCTGTTTGCATTATACAGTATATTTATTTGTGTTACTTCCTAGATCAAATACTACCTCTTTGAGAGTCTGTTCAAAAAAATTGTCTGAGAAATATTTAGCACAGTAAGTAAGGAAACTTGTGTTTAGTAGATTATTTCTTTGTTGTAACAATGTTTCTTGGTAATAAATCTTTTATTGTGCACCTGGTCTGCAAAATAAGCTGTTTGGCAGAGAAGATTTTCCATGTGTGCAACCCACATGCTCAGCTCTACTGCTCATCCCACAAATGCATGTTCCTTACAAATGTAGCACCACTTAAAAAGGGAAATTAACAGGCTTTCCAACAGCATAAGATTTATTGCCAAGAAGCAAAGAAACGATCTACCAAACACAAGTTTACTACCTTTTTTTTTAAACTAAATTTATTTTTTACTATGAAGGGTCACAGTTAAACCAGTGTTAAACAAGTAAACAAAAACAATGAAATATCAAATGGTTAAAAGGACTGAAGTGATTCTCAGTGTGAAAACAGAGGACTGAAGCGAGCGACCAAGGCACCCTGAGTTTATGAAACTAATGTCACAGAAGAATTTACCTGCAGTTATGAGAAAAAGGAAATCTACCCTCTTTCAGTTTGAGGGTTATTTTATTTTATTTTTTTGATGCTACACGATATAATGATCTGGACTAAGTTTTAATTAGATTAAATCTAACCTCAAATATACAAAACATGGGTTTTATATAGGTCTTCTGTTCAGTTTTAACACCAGAGTTTCTGTGCACCAGGTGGAAGTCAGTTAGTGACTGACAACAGTTTGCTCAGGAAGCATTGAGCTGAACACTCAACTGTTTAATGGAGTTGTTCAGAAAGCATGAAGACTGAAAATGTGGGGCAGATTCAAAACAAAGTGTTAATAAACCTGGAAGCGGTGATGAACAGGAACGGTATAAAATGAAAAAAACATCAAAAATTGTTCTTTGGAGACTTCAAGAGTTCTTAGAAAGGAAATTTTCCAAGTAGTTTCATCTCGGCTCTGGAATGCACTGCCACCTACACTCACCGGCCACTTTATTAGGTACACCTGTCCAACTGCTCGTTAACAYTTAATTTCTAATCAGCCAATCACATGGCGGCAACTCAGTGCATTTAGGCATGTAGACATGGTCAAGACAATCTCCTGCAGTTCAAACCGAGCATCAGTATGTGGAAGAAAGGTGATTTGAGTGCCTTTGAACGTGGCATGGTTGTTGGTGCCAGAAGGGCTGGTCTGAGTATTTCAGAAACTGCTGATCTACTGGGATTTTCACGCACAACCATCTCTAGGGTTTACAGAGAATGGTCCAAAAAAGAAAAAACATCCAGTGAGCGGCAGTCCTGTGGGCGGAAATGCCTTGTTGATGCCAGAGGTCAGAGGAGAATGGGCAGACTGGTTCGAGCTGATAGAAAGGCAACAGTGACTCAAATAACCACCCGTTACAACCAAGGTAGGCAGAAGAGCATTTCTGAACGCTCAGTACGTTGAACTTTGAGGCAGATGGGCTTCAGCAGCAGAAGACCACACCGGGTGCCACTCCTTTCAGCTAAGAACAGGAAACTGAGGCTACAATTTGCACAAGCTCATCGAAATTGGACAAGAGAAGATTGGAAAAACGTTGCCTGGTCTGATGAGTCTCGATTTCTGCTGCGACATTCGGATGGTAGGGTCAGAATTTGGCGTCAACAACATGAAAGCATGGATCCATCCTGCCTTGTATCAATGGTTCAGGCTGGTGGTGGTGGTGTCATGGTGTGGGGAATCTTTTCTTGGCACTCTTTGGGCGCCTTGGTACCAATTGAGCATCGTTGCAACGCCACAGCCTACCTGAGTATTGTTGCTGACCATGTCCATCCCTTTATGACCACAATGTACCCAACATCTGATGGCTACTTTCAGCAGGATAATGCGCCATGTCATAAAGCTGGAATCATCTCAGACTGGTTTCTTGAACATGACAATGAGTTCACTGTACTCAAATGGCCTCCACAGTCACCAGATCTCAATCCAATAGAGCATCTTTGGGATGTGGTGGAACGGGCTATTTGCATCATGGACGTGCAGCCGACAAATCTGCGGCAACTGTGTGATGCCATCATGTCAATATGGACCAAAATCTCCAGCACCTTGTTGAATCTATGCCACGAAGAATTGAGGCAGTTCTGAAGGTAAAAGGGGGTCCAACCCGTTACTAGCGTGGTGTACCTAATAAAGTGGCCGGTGAGTGTATACGCAGCCTTGATTCTGTTGATGCTTTTAAAAAACATCTGAAAACTTTCTTTTACAAACAGGCTTTTAGCTAAGTGTTTTTATTTTTTTACTACTTGTGCTCTCATATGAATGTAATGCTGTGGTGATGTTTTAATTTACTAATTTACTTTATTGTTTTCATTTTATTTTATGTGACGCGCTTTTAGATTTTATATCTAAGAAAGGTGCTTATACAGTAAATAAACTTTACTTACTTACTTACTTAAATTAAATGAATGGAGGCTGTCCTTAGAAATTTCAAAGAAGGTAATTTGTTAATTTAAGATAATAAAAACAAATTGTTTTCATCCATCCAGCCATAGTTTGGACGAACTTGTAAAATTGATAAATGCAGTTAAAAGACTTTTAAATGAGTAACAGATTTCTTCTTTGTTTTTCAACCTAAGAAAAACATTCCTGATTTGTTGTTAAATCTCAGCAAAGCAGACATATTGACAGTCACAGCCCTACAGTCCTACATGAATCTCTGATGACTAGTTTGAAACCTGCTGTGTTTGCTTACCTGAGGATTGGCGTCCAATATGCAGACACGTCCTGCTTCCACCACCTCATGTATCGAGTCGACCTTCAGGCCATACAGGTTGCCCTCATATTCTCCATATTCAAGGTAACGCCCGTTCTTAATGTCCGCCTCCATTTTGCTGCGGCTGGTGAAAGCGTACATCCGACTTTCACGTTCACCCTTTTTGGGCTTTCGGGACGTGTCTGATCCGACATGAAAACACACTTTCAGTCTTCTACATTATATAGCTGACGGTAGTCATCAAAACAATTCAAAATCAAGAAGCAAGGTTATGAAAGCAACACAAATATTCCATAAAACAGTGGTGTCTAATCCTGATCCTCAAGGGCTGCTATCCTGCAGGTTTGATTTGTTTCTCTGCTCCAACACACCTGATTTGAATGAATGGGTGATTAACAGTCTTCTGCAGAACATGAAGAGGTATTTCAATCACTAAATCAGGTGTTGGAGCAGAGAAACAAATAAAACATGCCATAAAAACTGCTTCTGAAAGACTGTTTGTTAGATTTTTTTAATTAAAGACCTACTATTCCTCAAAGGAACGTATCACCTGCCACCTTTATGAAGAGTTTTAGACTCAGATCATATTATACTGAGAAATAACAGAGTTGTAGCCATTTTGATCAAAGCTTGAGTGTGAGGTTATGCACAATCTTGTGACATTACAATATGCACAGTCAGAGTATGTGTTGGTAATGACTCTCAGCTACTACCACACCAGATTTTAGCACAATATCTAAATTGGACTGAGTTAGTGCCATTTTTGTGTTGGCCAAGTGGATCAGCTGCGGCAACCATTTGAACTTATATTTACTACAAATAGTTAAACAGTTACAGATGTACATCCAACGACTACTTTCTAAAACTGTCCTTAAATCCATTCACTGTTTTTTCTCTTTGGTGGCAGGCAATAAAACTGCAAAAGTTTCAATAAGTTACTGTGATTTCAAGACTAAAATACTGCAACCCATCAGACTGCGTACATGGAATGGTGGTGCCAAAGAGTTGTGGATCTCTCAGGAGGAGCTTGGCCTTCAGTCGACGCCTCCCAACACCCTGAGCACCAATTAAAACCAAAGTTTTCCTTTTGAAAGGCGGCACCTTGGCCACCTCCTCGTACAGGAGAATTTCATGTCTGTCAAACTCTGGAAGAAAGTAAGGACAAAAAGAGGGAATAAAAAAAATGCAATATAATTTCTAAAACTAATTTCTTAACTTGCTCATCCTATCCCATCATACTGAATGGGGTTCCCTTAAATCCAATAATTACTTTCTGCAAGTTTCATTAAAATCAGTGTATTACTTTGAGATATTTTGCTAACATACAGTAACACACACGCCACACAGAACAAGCATTAGCACAAAATCTGTCAGAATTAAAGAATAAAAGGTTGCAAAAAATAAGTGAATAAAAGTTTCACAGTGAAAAAAGTGCAGAAACCTTTATTTAAGTGTATGCATTGTTCTGTTACCTGCATTTTTTGTGGTGACATACATCATCTTCTTCTTCTTCTTCCCTCCAGCACCACTGCAAAGATTTCCTGTAACAAGAAAATAAATCATCACGTCAACTTGCATTAGCTTACTGAGGCCATTTTGAGTTTATAATCAGTGTCAAAGTAAAAAGAGAAGTCTTGGATCATGGATTTAAAAGTTTCTATAATCTGAGCTGTGAGTATACTGAAGGGGCGAGACTATTCCAGAGGTTTGGAGCAGCCAAAAGCCTGATCACCTTTAATCTGAACCTTTGCACCTCTAACAGAAACTGGCTGGTTGACTGGAGACACCTTTTGGTGTGCAGAGGTTAAGAAGATCAGCTAATGAGACAAGATTAAAATAAACTAGACATGGGTTTTTACGATGTAAAAACAAGTGTGCATTGCCATGTAGCATGTCATTTGCAGCATGGCTTTGCCTGCAGCAGTGGACTTGCAGAATGAAATGTGACCAAGTTCAAATGTGTTTTCTATACCAGCTTGTGCCTGTCACATCAGCAGGAATTTGTAATTAAGGTAATTGTGTGACAATATGAAATTTGAAGAGATTTTTTGTTAAAGTAGCATTAGCTGGGTTCTGAACCCTGATCTCCCACATGAAAGTCCATGACATAGACCATTAGACCAGTGGAGCTGTGGCAGAAGATGGTGGCAAGAGTTGGTTTGTATGTGTGCAGAAAGAGGCCGCATTGCCAATACAATTATTGACACAAAAATGCATAATATTACAACAATCGAGCAGTATTAAGACAATATTATAGTAAAACATCAAAATACAATCATGTTAGTACTGTAAACACGGAACTACTGAGTTGAAATATTAAACTATGGTTCAGTACCAAGTTGAGTACAGCATGGGTCAGTATTGGACCAATAAAAAGCTACCCTGACTGCCATTATAATTCATTGAACATGAATATTTCATAAACTATAAGTTTTACAGGCACCAAAAGGCATAGCCATCATTTGGCACTGGAGCTTTACAGATATAATGGCAGCTCTAGGACAAAGTATGCAGGAGGAGAAGCATGACAAAGTTGAGATGACTTGGATGGGAAACGAATCACATGCACACTGATAAATACAGATAAGGGCAGAAAGACAATAAAGTGATGATCTGAGGTGACAGCTTAAACAATTTAGTTTGGAGTGGAGCAATGGGAATCCAGGATGCCAGTACCAAAACTTTCAATAATCAGGTTGGAGCAGAATTGGGCTGATGACGGGAGAGTCTTTAAAAGGGGTGGAAAAGTCAACATTTGAAGGGTTAATTGTGCCAACAGGGTTCCTACAGCTTAAGGAAAGTTAAATTTAAGACTTTTTAAAACCTCTTTAATGCCACTTGAAATTAAATTTAAGACCAACTTCACAATAAACACAAATGAGATGAAAAGTGTCAACAACATGCAGAAAGACTGGTTAATAAGTCAGATGCACAACAAACATGTTTGTTACAATCACCAATTATTAAAAGATGGTCACATTTTAAATGGTAAATGAACTGGACTTAAATAGAGCCACAGCTGCTCTTTTTTCAGTTACACCCAGATCCAGACAGTGATATCAGTTCAAAACAGATACTTGATAATATTCAGGCAGATGAATGATATGCCGACGTTCTGTCATAGTAGAGGAAACCAGATTAATGAAACAAACTCAGGAGAACAAGAGTTAGGGACAAAGCAGAAAGTAATGCTGAAACATTTTCAGCTGCTTAGTCTCATTTAATTAACCTGCCAGCAACTTCAGAAAATCCTTCCTGACCATGTGTTTTGGTGGTGTCCACTGAACCACAGGAGAAGAGTTTATCTCCAGCAGCTTCAGCCTCTGCTGCTTTTAGCCACAACAAAGATTTTTTTTCTAAGAAAAACGGGATGGACAGAAAGAGTCTAATCCCTGTGTTACATGTGCAGCCAACACTCAGGAAACTTTAACTCATGCCAGCCTTCACTTAGCAAAAACCAGTAAGCCTCACTCTGTTGATCAACAAAAGAAATGACACTTGTGTGATGAAAGGCAGTTAAACAGTTAAACAAATTTTTATTTTTATGTTTTCATTTGCATGATGGAGGGAGAGAAGGGTGGTTGAGACTTAATGACTTGAGTAGAACCAAAATTTGACCAGTAGATGTCAGCAAAGATCTTATGTTTGACCATCATCTCCATCTTCCTCCTATCTTATTACCTGCAGGTGCCAGCTCCACATCTCTTTTGACAAAAGCTTTCCTCTTCTCCTCCAACATCTGACTGGGGATAAGCCCAGCACTCCCACCTTCCACATGACAGGCCTGTATAACATAAGACACACACACACTACACATCTTTATTTTCTTTCTTTTTTACTTTATAATAACCGTTTTTATCGGTTACAACCTTATTATATAAGCAACAAAGCACAAAAGCCACATGTGCATGCATTACTCAGTCCCCACTGTGTCACCTGCCACCAGTTGACATCATCCTGGTTGACGATCTGCAGGATGTCTCCCGTTTCAAACCTTAAACCAGCCTCTTTACATGGAATCAGGTTGTCATTGGCTGGATCGTAGTCATAATGACACTTGAAGAAGACCTGAAACAGTCCATACAAATATATGTCTTTATTTTACTGGATGTTCTTGATTCAGCACTGTAGTCATTTTCTCTGATTAAAAATGCCATAAAATGAAAAAATAAAGTGAAACCTTTAGAAACCAGGGAGCACATGTAAAATAAGTGTTTGGATTCCCTGCTGAAACATGGCAAACATACAAATCAAGAAAACAACACACAACAAAGTCCAGAAATGTGTGCATGAGACACCTCACCTGACACGCCTCCATTTTAACAGAAAGCATTTCAAAATACAGTACATTTGTGTTTACTGACACAACTGCTGTAAACACAGAGATACTCAGTGGCCTGGTGGAACGCTCGACATTATTTCCACAGTCAAAACCCCAGTTTGAGAACCTCTGTGATAGATCATGGGGAACATTTTCCAGAAAAACACAGCCTTGTGAGGATCCAATGCTCCTCAATTGGAACAAAGCCTGGTCCCCACCGGTATGGATGTTTATTTTGGGTTTGGGGTTAGGTCTAGGACCAAGGTGTGACTTGAGTTTAGGTTAGTTTTAAGGTCAGGTACCTGTGAGGTTAGGGTTTGTGGTCAGGGTTAGGCTGTAGAAATGTAATGGAAGTCAATGGAATGTCCCCAAATGGGTAGCTGTGCAAATGTGAGAGAGAGAGAGAGAGAGAGAGAGAGAGAGAGAGAGAGAGAGAGAGAGAGATACCTGTCTTGGAGGAATGGTCTCATGGTAGCTGGGCAGTATCTTCAGTACCACAATCCCACTAGCTGCCTGGAGTTCCTCCTGCAACACTCTGGGATCCTGGCCCACCTCTCGCCCGTTCACCTAACATCAACAGCGAACCAGGAAAGATTTTAATGCAGCTGTCTTTAGGACAATGCTATGAGGTGCTTTAATAAAAAAAACTTAATAAAATAAGAAAAACCCAGTTAAAATTTAAATTAAAAAAAATTTATATAACCAATAATAATCTAACAGCCCAAACTAAAAATGAAAAGAACAAGTTAGAAAGTGGTCTTACTTCTTTGATGATATCTCCAACATGCAGCAGACCTTGCTGGTCTATCATCCCACCATGAAGGATGCGGGCTATCATCAATTCTCCTCCCTCCACTTTGAAGGTTATACCCTGTAGAGGTGAGGATTTTATAGTCTATCAGGGTTAAATTATAATCACCAGTTTCAGCAATAAACTGAACATGCTGTGGGCTGTAAGAGTATCTGCAGTTCTTGGCATTTTCTGCTTTTCGTTGCTTTACAACTTGGAACTAAACAGAAATATTGGGTGGATTAAATATTTTATTTAACCCAAAAATCTTTCATTTTGTATATATAATTTTTTAATTTGTGAAACAAAAGAAATAAAACCTTGCCTCTCATTCCAGTTTGGCAGTCCATTGCTGTTAGATGGCTCGTTATTTAGTTGCTCTTCTTGTATTTTTAAACAATTCTACTATGTAAAGATGTTGGCAAAGTTACCGGTAATTGCAGCCCTATTATGACTAACTTATGGCAGCCTTTACTGAGGCACAGTTGACATAAAACCATAAACAGGATGTCAATAACAACCATCTGGAGTGGAGTGTGACATCTACTTTGACGATCGGGACATCCCTACATTTTACAACCTTCTCAGCAAATACAGCAAAGACTCCTCAAGCATGTCTCCACAATATGATCTGTATAAATGCTGTAATTTTTGCTAGGTTTTCATGACAAAATTACTCCAACTCCTTCAAGTAGTGCCACTTGTGTACAACAATCTTTATACTTATATTGTGGGAACTTTTACATTTATATAGTGGTTTATCTAAGCGATTTGACAAGTGAAAAAAAACTTTTGCTTCCTGCTTTGGACAATATTTTGAGCTAAAATATGACTAAATCTGTGGAAATTTCACTGCATTTTCTTCATTCTAAGGAGATTTGGAAATAAAAACACTGAACACTGAATAAAAATGCCTTGTGATGAATAATTTCTATATGTAAAAAAAAGAGTTGGAGTAAAAAGAGGTTTTTTTTAAATAAAATGTTAGACAATTCAAAGATTAGAGTGTGACACCTATCTGTTAAACCTTTTGTGGAAAAAAATCCTACTTGAACTGCGATTGTGTAAAAACTAAATTATCAGTTCAGACAAGCTAAGGCCAATTTTCTGTGACTCATTTAGACTCTGAATGATGTTTCTACTGTGAAGTCTGTCTAAGCTGCAGAGCTTCAAAGAGGGCTGGCTTTTCTCATCGGTTTCTCCAAAATACCAAAGATCAACACATCAATACCAGTTCAGCCACACATTTAAGTGTATAATTTGCATAAGATACAAGATAAAATGTTTTGAACAAAACAGGAATATAAATGATTCAATTTAAATGCACTGTCAGCTATAATATTCAAACCAGAGACTATCAGTTGGACTAGGGTCTGGGCTTTGACTAGGGGTGTAAGAAAATATCGATACACTGAAATATCGCGATGTTTCATTTCCCGATACTGTATCGATATTCTAAAGCCTTGTGTCGATTTTTTATTAAGGTTTAAAATGTCAACTTTCCTGCCAGCCATTCATTTTTATGTTGTAGTTCAGCCTCTGACCGCTAGTTGGCAGCAGTGAGCCAGCCATTTGGCTCCTCTACCTCTTGAG